GCATGCATCTGCCTTTTATATAAATTTGTTTATCTTTTTCTTACCTGCTGCTTCATCTGCTGCAGCCGCTGCTGCCGTATAGCTGCATGCATATACAGCCGCAGCAAATGCTGTGGGTCTCCCCGCCTCCTCTTATCATACCCATTCTCCTTCACCCCCAACAAATCCGGGGGCCCCTGGGGGCCCCCCCGCTCCTGCGGCCCCTGGGGGCCCCCCTCTTCCTGGGGCCCCTGGTCCCCTTGGGGCCCCTGGGGCCCCCCCTCCTCCTGGGGCCCCTGGGGCCCCTGGGGGCCCCCCTCTTGCTGGATCCCCTGGGGCCCCTGTGGGCCCCCCTCTTCCTGGGGCCCCTGGGGCCCCTGGGGCCCCCCGGCCTCATGGGGCCCCTGGGGGGCCCCCTCCTCCTGGGGCCCCCAGGGTATTGGGGGCCCCCGGGGGGCCCCCTTCAAGGCCTTCTTCGTAGGGGTGGTAAGGCCGGTTGAAATGCTAGCTGCCGTTGCTGTTGCTGCTGCTGCTGCTGCTGCTGTAGCTGCTGCTGCAGCTGCAGCAGTGGATACTCTTTTAGTTTGTCTTGGAGACAAGGTGGTGGCTGTGATGTTTTTGTTTTGTTTTTCTCTTCGTTTGCTTCCTGCTGCTTGAGGTGTTGCTGCTGCTGCTGCTGCTGCTGCTGCTGCTGCTGTTGCTGCTTGCTGCAGCAGCTTCTGCTGCTGCAGCAGGTGGTGCCGCAGCAGCAGCTTAACACAGCCTGCTGCTCTCCTTGCTGCTGCTCTGCGGCTAGCAGCAGATGGGTGGGGTTGTTGTACTGGGTGAAGGCTCCTGTGCTGCTTCTGCATGCAGCAGCAACTGCTGCTGCTGCTGCTGCTGCTCGTGTTGCTGCTGCTGCTTGCTTCGATTCTTACACCACTGATACCATCGTTGTTGCTGCTGATGCTGCTGCTCTTGCTGCTGCTGGTGCTGCTGCTGGTGCTGCTGCTGGCGCTGCTGCTCGTGCTGCTGCTGGTGCTGCTGTTTGTCTCGTTGTTGATGCTGCCATCCACTGCAGCCCCTGCTGTTGCCGCTGCTGCTGCTGCTGCTGTTGCTGCTGGTGCTGCTGCTGCTGCTGGTGCTGGTGCTGGTGCTGCTGCTGCTGCTGCACTTTCTGCTGCCACTGCTGCTATGCCTCCAGCTGCTGGCGTTGATCCTTCTGTCGCTGCTGCTGCGATTGTTACCTCTGCATCTTCTGCCGCTGCTGCTGCTGCTGCTGCTGCTGCTGCTTCTGCTGCTGCTGCTGCTGCTGCTGCTGCTGCTGCAGGCCGAAGGTCTTCGCTGTGTCTCTGCGTTCTGCTGCTGGCGATGCTGAGGCAGGGGAGACAGTTGCTGCTGCTTCTTCGCAGCAACTGCTCTCCCTGCTGCTGCTGCTGATGCTGCTGCTGGTGCTGCTGCTGGTGCTGCTGCTGCTGCTGTGGAGCAGCCACAGCCAACGGGGCAGTAGCAGTATCAGCAGCAGCAGCAGCAGCAGCAGCAGGAACAGCAGCAGCAGCAGCAGCAGCAATGTCAGGTTTGTGCAGCTCTTTGTTTGTATTTATTTGTATGAAGGAAGACGATGAGGTCTTTCGAGACACTTCGTCTGTTGCTGCTGCTGCTGTTGTTGCTGCTGCTGCTGTTGCTGCTGCTGCTGCTGTTGTTGCTGCTGCTCCTGCCGTTGCTGCTGCTGCTGCTGTTGCTGCTGCTGATGATGCAGTTGCTGCAGCAGACCCGAATGCCTCTTGGGGAGCCTTCAGAAGGCGCCTCCCTGTGCATGGTGCTGCTGCTGCTGCTGCTGCTGCTGCTGCTGCTGCTGCAGAGGTTTCTTCTCTTCGCTGCTGCTGCTGCTGATGCAGCTGCTGCTCCTCCTGTTGCAGTTGCTGCTGCAGACTTTGCTGCTGTGATTGCTGCTGCTGCTGAGGATGCAGCTGTTGCTGCTGCTGCAGTTGTTGCTCCTGCTGCAGTTGTTGCTCCTGCTGCTGCAACTCCTGCTGCTGCGACTCCTGCTGCTGCAGCTCCTGCTGCTGCTGCTGCAGCTCCCGCTGCTGCTGCTGCTGCTCCGGCTGCTGCTGCTGCAGCTCCTGCTGCTGCGGGGTTGACGAGCTGGCGGTAGAAAGGGCGCAGCAGCGCCTGGGCTTTAACCTCAGAACAGCAGACACACGAACACGCTGCTGTTGCTGCTGCTGTTGCTGTTGCTGCTGCTGCTGCTGCTGTTTTCGCTTTTGCTTTCTGTCGTTGCTGCTGCTGTTGCTGTTGCTGCTGCTGCTGCTGCTGTTTGTGCTGCTGATAAACATGGCATCAGCTCTCTCGTTATTATACGGTTGCTGTTGTTCTTGCTGCTGTTGCTGTTGTTCTTGCTGTTGTTGCCGTTGCTGCTGTTGCTGCTGTTGCTGCTGCTGTTGCTCTTGCTGCTGCTGCTGCTGCTGCTGCTGCTGCAGGCAGCATCCAGGCTCAGCAGAAGCACCCGCAGGCCCCAAAGTTTTTGCTCTATAAGCGGCGATGAGTCGCAGCGCCTGTGCAGTTCCCCTGCTGTCTGCTGCTGCTGCTGCTGCTGCTGCTGCTGCTGTTGCTGCTGTTGGTGTTGTTGGTGTTGGCGTTGCTGCTGTCGGTGCTGCTGCTGCTGCTGCTGCGGGTTTCGTCAGATCTGCTGTTGCTGTTGATGCTGCTGCAGCTGGCGTCATCTGATCTGCTGCAGCTGCTGTTGCTGCATCTGCTGTTGCTGCTGCTGCTGCTGCTGCTGCTGTTGCTGCTGCTGCTTCTCTATGCTGTCTACGGGGAGACACAATCCCTGCTGCTGCACCAGCGAAGCCGCTGGCACGCGGAGACACTGCAGCAGCAGCAGGAGACACTGCAGCAGCAGCAGCAGCAGCAGCAGCAGCAGACACTGCAGCAGCAGCAGGAGACACTGCAGCAGCAGCAGGAGACACTGCAGCAGCAGCAGGAGACACTGCAGCAGCAACAGGAGACACTGCAGCAGCAGCAGGAGACACCGCAGCAGCAGCAGCAGGAGGCAGTGCGGTAGCACGGAGAAGGTGCGCCGCCTGCTTCTCAGCAGCATATGCTGCTGCTGCTGCTGCTGTTGCTGCTTCTGCTGCTGTTGTTGCTGCTGCTGCAACTGGGGGCAGTGCAGCTGCAGCAGCAGCAGCAGAAGGGACATCTGTGATCGGGCTGCTGCTGCTGCTGCTGCTGCTGCTGCTGCTGCTGCCTCCATCCTTCTGTGCGTCTCTCCTTCTGCTTGAAGGCCTTCCGCTTTGCTGCTGTTGCTGCTGCTGCTGCTGCTGCTGCTGCTGCTTCCTAGAACTGGAGCAGCCAGCAGCAGCAGCAGCAGCAGCAGCAGATGGTGATGATGCTTCTGTGGTTATTTGTGTTTGTGTTGCTGCTGACGCCCCCCAGTACTCCGATATAAAAAATTTGTCTTCACGTCTTGCTGCTCGGTCTGCTGCTGCTGCTGCTGCTGCTGCTGCTTGTGCTGCTGGCCCATCTGCTGCTGTTGTTGCTGCGGTTGCGGTTGCTGCTGCTGCTGCTGCTCTTGGTGCTGCTGCTGCTGCTGATATGCTGCTGCTGCTTCTGCTGATAGAAAACGTCGCTGTGAAGCTGCGGGTGGTGCGGGCCGTGCAGACCCGCCACGTTTCTGCTGCTGCTGTCGGTGCTGCTGCTGCTGCTGCTGCTGCTGCTGCTGCTGTTGGGTGAGAGAGAATGTGTGAGGTTTGGCTGCGGAGACGGCGGGGAGGAGACAGAGAGATGCAAGGAGACAGAGACACGCAGCTGTCTCCTGCTGCTGCTTGTCTTCCTCTCTGCCCCTGTGGAGCCCTTCTTGCTGTATCGTTTGCTCTGCTGCTGCTGCTGCTGCTGCTGCTGCTGCTGCTGCTGCTGCTGCTGCTGCTGCTGTTGCTGGTGGTGCTAGTGCTAGGACACCCGAGGAAGTCTCCTGCCTTAGAGGCGGTGCGTTGCTGCTGCGACTCGTTGGTCTGCTGCTGCTGCTGCTGCTGCTGCTGCTGTTGCTGCTGTTGCTGCTGCTGCTGCTGCTGCTGCTGCTG